AATTCCACTGTAATATTCAATTACCTAATAGTCAAAGTTATGTAGAAATATCGGAAAAAATTCATGAAATTTGATACAATCATGTTTATTCAGTATTACGATTTTAAATAGACAACTGTCATTCTTTCTCCATTTACCCTTATTTCGGTTATAAAATAAACTATAATAGTACCATTATTCCTGTCAGTTCTTGTTACTAATCTCAATTTTGTACAGTACTTGGATCTTATGAAAGATATCGTGTGATAATGTAACTATTCTGGAAGGGCGAAGTAAGTACACAAATAGTTTGTTTAAAATGGCCTCCTCCCATGCTCGCACATAGACATACAAGCGAATTTGCGTTTGTGTGGAGAATGGCTCCGCCCTCTGACTGTAGTTCTAAAAGTAATAGCTGCATGATTTTTTCGGAAATGGGTCATGAAATATTTTTTTTAAATATTTTTGGTACCCAAGTAATCACGAAATTCTTTTTTGTAGTAACGGACTATACTATTTTATTAGATAATCTACACAATTTCTGAACATGAAATGCTTGATTAGTTAAGAGTGTACAGACACACATTACTACTACACATTAAACTCACGTATAATGTATTGAAAATTATCAAGAAACTCACATGTTGTTTTGCTTACATTATGAGGATTACGCCGTTATCTATTTTTGGTAGTTCCGCTACAATTATTTGAAAGCACGAGACCATAACATGAAGCCAACTCTCGAGCTCCGAGTCAGAGAAGTGAGCCACTCGTCGACGCAAATGCTGGATCAGGAGGTCCAGGGCGCCAGAGGCGCGGGAACGACTTGCAAGACACACACCCTGACCCGCTTCTCGCAGGGTGCGAATTGGCGCAGAGGGGGACATTCAAAATTCCCGACTGTGACGGATTGGCGAATTGTTGAGTGTAGCGAACGGCAACTTCTCTTACGCAGCATAGTCTGAATGAAACCAAACAATGCTCGCCTTGATCAGTTTCCTAGAGAGGAACATAACACTAGGTAGATTGGAGCACATCCCTGTAGAACATAGGGCCCCTTTTGTGGATGAATTCTATTCCTGACGAGGAGTCATCACTACCTTTCCTGCAGGAATTCTCTCTCTTCCGTAGGGGGGGGGGGCACAATCACACACACAATGCCAATTCGCCCCCTGGGCGTCGGGGCGTTCGGGGGCGTTCCCACCGCTCCTGGCGTCCTCCCGTGGACTTGGCCTCCCACCGGCAGCCCGGGCGCGGGGTGGGGGCGGGGGCGGGGTCGGGCCGCCGGCGGAGGCAGACACGGCCCTGCCCTTCGGAGGTTCGCTTCGGTCGGAGCACCTGTGCACACGGCCGCTCGGGGATGCATTGCGGGTTGAAAAACAAATGACTTCCTTTGAAAGATCTATAGAAGTAATGAGAGCAACGTTTCTGTCGGATATAGCACAGTTGCAAAACTTTTCTTCGTGAGATGAGCTGTCGCGTACGTAAAACATCCCCAAGATTATCTCATTTATTACTTCGTATTTTTTAACATACAATTTCGTTAATACCCAAAAATTAGTCTGTTATATGTACCAGAAATAATAAATTTAGCATTATATGAACAAATTATTTTCAATTTTAAAATGTAATTATTTACGCAAATTATTTTTCTATTCTCTTGTTCTAACTGTACGTGCATTTACTGTTCGTATAGGAAAAAAGTGTGACCAATGTGTCAAACAGCAGTTCAGAACGACAACGAACCACGAAAGAGAGAACCGAAATATTGTCGAGACTCTTCACCTGTGTGAGAAATGACAATATTGTGACAGATTGTATTTCTTGGTAAGTCTAAATAACTATGCTTGATGTAAATATGTCAAGGATTTTAAGGCTCAGTACAATGAGTAATTTAGAAAGTTATTTTTGGCATTTGATGATGTATTTCTGCAACCACCTGACTGAAAAGTCTCATTAGTTTACAAGAACCATGCTGAGTATTACCATGCTGAAAAATGTAGAGAATAAGAAAAGAATGAAAGAGAGAAAGAGTAAGAAGAAAGGGGGAGAGCAGCATTGTTTTCCCCGAATGATTCGTGTTACTTTCCGCATGTTATGCGAAAATGATCCAAGTATAAATGGTGAGAAACACCGCCTAAAGGCTGATTCATTTGCTTCTATGTGTATTTGTATAGATTTCTGATTTTTATCGCGTTTGTTTCTTTTTCAGTTGAAAGGGGAACTTAATTAGTAGAGTCGGACAAAACACATTATATTATTGATCGTTTACACTGGCTTGCCTTCTGCAAATTATAGGCAGACTATAATCTCTAGGAACTGTCGCTAGCACTCATTCTCAGCTGTATTAGAGGAGCGTACTCTCAGTGCAGTTTTCTGGTAGTTTCGATATGTTTCACACGTGAGAAGCACCATGAAGTCTCTTACAAAGGATAAACTAATGTAATCCAAAATTTAATTACTTTAATAATAAAAAATAATTTAAGAAATATTTTTTAAATGACATCACTTTCATGCTTGCGTCGTTTCAATTTCACAACTAAGCAGAGGTTTCCTACGTGACTTATGCGATCAAATTTTAATTTAGTTTTCGTCGTAGAGCATGCCGTTTGTAAACATAGTTCGGTAACCCGCTTCATTGAAAATGGAATAAATAGAACGTTTAAGATTTTTAATAGTAACGCTTGAGCGATAAACCGAGTAGAGACATTCGGTGACGCCATAATTTGTTAACCATCATTGCCTTTTCGTCCGTCGGTTCGACAGATCTCTTGCGGCCTGGTCTCGTCGCTGAGAACGACATGCACAGCTTTTGTGTCCGACTCCAATAGGTAATTAAATCTATTTTGATATTTCAGTATGTAATATATCGTTATTTCAATGTTCGTAAGTTTTAAGTTAGCGAAAACATTTTGTGTTCGATTATTTCCCCCTTGTTAGAGATAAACGATTCAGATACATTTTAATTACTACATTAGCTTTACGTTCTTATACTTTTAACGAATTTGAGACAGCCCGTCTAAATGAAACTTATAATTCCTACTTTGATCTATCAAAATGGTAAACGATGTGTTTAAACTGGTGTCACAATGATTAATTACAAATTTATTTTACTTCCGAAGAATATTTAGCTTCGGATGTCTCTCCTTTCATCTTTAATGGTATAAAAATTACATTAAATTTTGACTCAAAGGTAATAAGTTAATCCTGATATAGAATGAAATTATTTTTAAGGTTCTTGCAGCTAATTTCGCATTTGTACCGCTTATTTATTTTAAATATTAAGAATATTATGTATTAAGAAGTCAATATTTCGAAACAATTTTTATTCGCAAACATTTTATGATTTTGTATTTAAAAATTATGCCACTTCTGTCCGATAGCGTAAAGGTGCCAATGGAAATCCAAAGAATGTGTTCAGTATGTGATGATGAGCGTAAAATGGAATGCAAGTGCATTGCTTGTCGAATGATGTTATTTCAGCAAAGTTATATCTGTTACGTGTGGTTCTCGCCCCAATTTAGAGGTGCAAGCTCAATAAATTTCATATATCATCAGTTTCAGATAATGCTGTTTATATGTACTCCAAAAACAGAGTTCAAGCAGATACTTCAATATGAGCATTCGAACTTGTTATTTGAGAGAATATGGCAAGGGCACGACATTTTCTCGAATGTTCTGACAAACCAAGATATTCTGTACGCATTTTGCTTGAAAGACTATAACAACAAAACATACTGATATATTTTTATGAAACATTGCTATAAGCACACTATTTTTTGCAAATTTTGTATTAAAAGGCACAAAAATTTCCTTATTTCAATAATATAATTACTGAACAACTTCAATTGCTTTTCAGCTCTCTGCTTGTATATTTGTTTATGTATCTATACTGCACGTAAATATTGCGTAAATGTATTATTTTCGAAACGAATAATTAACTATTTTATTGCAATGTCAATAAGTTACTTATATACTCGTATAGGTAGGACCGCTACCTTTTGAGGCATTTTACATTCATTCCGGAAATATTACAAAAGTATCAGAAACAGAATAATGCTAGCAAATCGAAGAAAAATATCAAGCCTTTGAAATAATATTTTACCATTGTTGATTTCCTGAGTTGTAAATACATAAAGTGTATTACGTGACATAAATACATTTTAAATATTCCGAAATTTTACAGTATTTATAAAATTTTGACAAGTAACAAACTGCTTAACTTTGAAATATACAATAAATACCTTTCCTAGATGTCGCGAGACATTTCTACATTACAAGGACCACGTTCTGATGGATTTAACAACATGAATCGTACCTTTAAGCTTATACATTCATTCCTTCGCCTTTTTGGGGAGTCCAATGTTTGATTTATTTCATTCATGATCCCAAGGGGGGAGGGGTCAGTAAAGAAACAGCAGCCAGAAAAAGTGGTTTTCTCTAATGAAATGACGGCCCAAAGAATTTTTATATTTTATGTAGTTTCCTTATATTTAAGAGCAATACGAATGAATTGTGGATGATTCATAATGTAACAAGTTATTATATCATTTTTAATATTTGTTAGTTACTACGTTTCCAAAAGTTTCAGGTACATTTTATATTTACATCTTCATGTAAATTTCAAGCTTTCATTTGCAACATTATGTGTTATTAATAGTTCGCATATCTATTTAATTAAACAAGTGGTTTGGAAATGAAACCTTGAAATGTATCTGAATATCTACTTGCGAAACGTTGTAACACAACCAAAGTATACAAATTCTATCTTAACGTGTTACGTTACGAAATCAGTATTACAGAGGATCCACACTTCACCCTTCTTAATTTTAAGGAAACTTTCCTAAAATATAGAAAGCACGTTTCGGCCGGTGCAGGTGCGCGGAGTCGGAGGTGCAGGGTGGGGGCGGGGCTGCTCTCCCCGAGGTCACTTGCGGGGGCGGTGGCGGCCGAGGGGGCCGCGGGGGCAGAAGAGAAGGCCGGGCGCTGTCGCCGGGCAGGGCGCCCGCACACTAGCTCACCAACTGGTTCCTCTCTGGAGCTGGTGTCGGCCGTCTCCTGCGCAGCGGCCTCCAGCGGGATCTGCGACACACGCACGCGCGCGCACGCGCTCGCCGTTACAACATTCCAGATGCCAGTTTAATAGCTACTTTCGAACCACTACATCTCTAAAATCAGGCGGTACAAGAAAAAATTCTGAATTTTTTTTTTAATTTTCGAATTGATTAGGCAAAGTTAAGGAAGCAAAATTTGAAAGTCTTGAGTTTGAGCGGATTAAATCATTGAAAAAATGTTGTAGTGTCTATATAATAATAATAATAATTATTATTATTATTATTATTATTATTAATATTATTAGTATTATTATTATTACAGTTATAACAGTAATAATAACAAAAATTATAGAATATTATTAATAAACAGAAGTAAACAACAAAGAACTACAATAGAGTTAATCGAAACCAGATAAGTACACAAAATCGTTGCCGCATTGAAATCAACTTCCTAATGTTCTTTCTTTTTGTTCACTGACGATGTATTCAAGAATTGTAAGCGATTTATCGTAAGTATCCTAGGATTTTTCTAATTGAAGCTAAACAATGACATTTCCCAGTGGCCCGTCTGTATCTAATGAAATACTATCCGTGCCAAGGTCAACCGCTGTCATACCCAGTCAGTTACAAATCGTCATTACCATTAGTACGCACAGTCAAAACTATCACACACGTAGGCATTGCAATTATCTTCAAAATTGAGTTATCGAAGCGTTCGAATAAGACAGCGAGTTACAGGTGTCTAACTAGAGAGCGCTGTCTGGAGCATGCCGGTTGGAAGACAAGAGGAGGGGTGACTGGTGTGCGTGAGGTGGAGGAAATAGACTAGAGGGATCGGGCAATGAGAAACGATCTCGAGGGTTCAGGCTGCAGAACGCACGCTTGAGGGTGCGGCGTGGAGAGCGCGAAAGAGGTCCCCGCTTTGAATCACGGGGTGAAGGCTTAATGTATAGAGAGGTTAAGGCCGTATGAGGGCACGGTCCGGATAGCATCGGCTAGAAGACGCAAAAGGGCCAGCCTGGTGAGCACGAGCTTGAGGGTGCGGGCTTGTGGCGGCAGGCTGGATCGCTCAGATTGGAGGGTGCGGGATGGAGAGCGAGGGCCGGAAGGCGCGGGCGGGCCGGAGGGCGCGGGCGGGCCGGAGGGCGCGGGCGGGCCGGAGGGCGCGGGCGG